AAAGTAGCATAATTGTGAGGTAGAAGAAAGCAAACTTATTTGTGTTGGTCTTTCACCCTGAAAAATACTTTGAATGCAATTGATTGCAATTCTATCATGACAAAAATGTAAGAAAGGTCAAGGTGTTCGAATTCTTTTGCGAAGCATAATTAATACAGGATAAAACAAACATGTTTCAGGGTTTCTGTGATAAAAGGTTGACCTAAATGTATAAAAAACTAGGATATTTGTGTACAACTGATCCCATAGAATTTACTCTGGTTGGTCAGACCAGCCATACATCAACAGGAGTATTAGTCTTTTAGAACGTGTTAGCATTAGCAACATTCATAAGAGATTGCATTTCTGGTAATTGTATGAACTGTAAGAGCAGCTTTTGCGGTTGACATATTACCTGACAGATTAAAACAGCTGTCATATAATAAATGGTACCATGCGAACAGAGCTGGTTTATACCTCTCTATACCGCTGGACACATTTATATCTCCTTATGATGACAAAACAGATTTTATGCTGTCCTAAACCTTTTCAGTTAAATTTTGGTCAAACAGCAGTAACTATGGCAACATGATGAGTACAAAGAGGCTAGTTTGGGATAAAAGGATTTAATGGATGTACAAATAAATTGACTCTCAACCACTTTTTTATTACTTTACCCTGATATTTCAACAGAACAAAAAGGTTAAAATGTTGATGTAGACATATATTTACATATGTATATGCAAGTATAAATGTAAAAAGTTTTTTTTTTTATATATATATAAACCGGATTCATAGTTACCTCTCTGACATTAGGCAGCTCCAAAATGTCAGAGAAAACATAGAGGCCCGGAGTCTCCAGCAGGGAGCTGACAGCCTGGGCCAGTGCTGAGCCTGACAGAGACAGGAGCTGCTCCACCTCCATCTGGGCAAATAAGAAACATGAGACACAAATAGTAGGTCAGCAAAAAGAAAGGAAACAGAAGATAGTTGGAGGATATCTTTGAATACAAAAAAAAAAAAAAAAAAAAAAAATGACAACAATCCAAAATGTAACGATAACGATTTGTTTCTCTTTATGGTGAAGTTTTTTTTTTAAAGTTAAGTTCTTGAAACCTTTAAGTCCTAGAGTAATAGAAAACCACACCCCTGAATATTTTAAAACAAACAGTTTTGAATACAAAAAGGAATTACATGAGCATACTTAGGCATCAAACCTCAACCTTAACCTTTCCAAATGATGAATGCATCTTTAAAATCTGCATTCCCTATAAAGACAATGCAAACAGATTTTCTTATAGACCCTAGAATATCCATCCCAAAGCACTTATATGAATTGTTTACAAATCTGTCTGTAAACTCATTATTCCCATCTAGACAGGATTATGAAACTATAGGATGATAAGTTAAACGTTAAAGGCCCTGTACCTGATTTTATTTTAATCTCCTTAAGAAAAATGCTTTTTACATGGTATACTGTGGGGCAGAATATATCATTTGGGTAAAATAAATAACCTATAGATTGCACATATGCAGGAATCCAGGCATTTTTTGTAGGCTTCCAACTTAAGCGTGACAGTTTTCTCTTCCAACAAGGTTCATTCTTTAGAGCCTCTGGGTTTTACAATCAGCTACTTAGGGTGTTTCCCAAAAGTGCAGTTTTCTCCATGCACATGCATGGTACTTCTTGTAAACAGAGAAGCATGGCAGGCCACAAAGGGAAAGTTACAATACCTCTGCTGGCTGTCACTGCATATACAGGAAAAACTGCCTAAAAGGGTCAAAACAGAGGGAGGGAAGAAAGGCAAGAATGACCAAAGAAGAAACAAAGGTTGTGTAAATCTCGGAGCAGCCTACTGGAGGTGGAGAGCTTTGCAGGATGCCTCGGACTGAATCTGGACTTGAAACTGGCTGTAGTTCTCCTAGACGGGTATCTTTTCATTTCAATTATTACAAGAGGTGCACATTATCACGGCCATACAGAGTGGAAAGAAAGTTTCTCAATGGGAGGAGGTTAGTACAGGGCTTATAGTTTAAACTAAACTGTTCTCCTCACTCATTGTTCAAAACTGTACAGAATCAGGTAGAGGGCCTTTAAGGTGAATGCAGCAAACAGTTTAACCATTGGAATATTGGTTTTAATATTAATAATATAGTTTGAATGTGAAATATATACCTATGACAAAAAAAAATAAATACATATATTGCAACTGTACTAAATTCTAAGCACACATCTCTATGCACCACCAGGGTCCTTATTGGCTTGCAAATGAAGGGAAGAGACAGACAGGCCAAAGCCTTGAAGGAGCAAAAAGATTCATTCACTAGTAGGTGGGCTGTTGAACACTGTAGACAACAACAAAATATGTGACAAGCGCAGAAATGGTTTTTGAAATCTGAGCCTTTCACAATAATATAAATCATCAATGTACTGCATAATTAATTGAAATAAAATTAAATAATTTCTGTCTGCAGGCTTGATCTTCTTGTGTCCTCTCTTTCCACTAAACCCTCTCGATGAGAAAAGGTTTCACTCTGCTGAATCGTTAGCCTCATGGTTTCCTTAGTGTAGCAATTGTAGCATAAAAGCTTCATGACAGAGGAGCAGTATTTGCAGATTTGGCAAAAACAAAGATGGAAATGCTTTCAAAGTAGCCTAGTAAACTAGCCCACCTGCCAGTGGCCAAAATCATTTTGCTTGTGAGTGGATTTAAAGTAAGATTTAAGGAAATTACACATTTAATCTCACATTTAGTCTGGTTTATCAGGCTAGTTTCAAAGTTTAAAATGACAGCTGCAGTGTAGAAGAACTTTGGCATTTAACCCAATGACAATACTATCGTTTATCACAATCATTTCTTGGACAACTTATCATTAGGTAGGGTTGTCAAAAGTATCGATACTCAAAAAAGTATCGATACTGAAACGTTGTATCTGGATACAATACTCATTTTCAAAAGTATCGAGTACCAGTCGCACCTAAACAGTCATTCATCTAAAGTGCAGAATAGAGGAAAATGCACTTTCTGAACACTGTGATTGAATAATTCAGTGCACTTTTCATGTAACAGTTGCAGCTGCTGAGAATTATTTTTGTTTCTTAACCGGTTAAGAAACAAAAATAA